AGGTAAGACACTTGCATTGCACATGGCTGATACTTGACACCTGTGCATTGTCAGGAGTGATCCCTAAGCACAAAGCAAGAATAACCCCTGAGCAAGGCTTAGTGAAGCCCCCAAACAGATAAAAAATTAAAATTAAGAATGATTAATTCTGGGTTGCAAATATTGTACAGGGGATAGGATGCTTGCTTTGAATGTTGTCAACCCAGGTTTGATCCTCAGCATACCATATCGTCTCCTGTATACCACTGGAAGTGTTTCCTGAGTGCAGAAATAGGAGTAAGCTCCTTAGCATTTCTAGGTGTGGCCCCAAACCTAAAACAAAAATGAATTATTTAATTATTTTAGCATAGATGAGACCACTTCACTATCCAGTCTGTGTGACAAGCAAGTAAAACCTTCTTTCCTTTCTTTAATTCAAGATTTTTTAAGTGTTGGGAATCAAACTCAGATCCTGCACATTCAAAGAATTCTCTCTAGAACTGAGTCACTTTCCTGGGCTTAAATATTTGTAATTTTCACTCACATTGTTGTGGAAAGGTGGAAAGGGAATAAAGACTGGATCAGAGATAACCTAAGGACAGTGGGGGTAGTATCATGAGCACTTTGAAGGAGAAGAGGTGCAGTAACCTTGTGTATAAATACCATAAGCCTTCACACTATTGTACCCATGTTACTTGAACTATCAGGAAAATAAATGAATAAATGTTGTCATTGTTGCAACTGAAGATCACTTAATCAAGTTACACTGAAACTAAATCTTTTGGCAGGAGAACAAGAAGTTTTATTCACATTGGTCCCATGGACTGGTGGACTGAAGCTAGGCAAGGCACCCAAAGGTATTGGCCCAATCAGGGGTGTCAAGAGCACTTTTATAGAGCACATTGTGGGCATATGCCTTCTTCTCTATCATGAGAAAATTTAAAAAGCTCATGGGCCACATACCATAAGGTATGTGTCCCAGAAGATGGTTATTTTAAAAAGATTAAGTATTCAACTTTAAATGATATAGATAAAACAAATAAGGCAAAACTCATTGTGTTATAGTTCACTAAACTTCCTCCTTTCCAGAGAGATTCAAAACATTTGAAATGAACAGTTAAATTCAGAAGACAGCCAGTAAAATTTGACATCAGTAAGAATGTTTCAATGAGACCATATCTTATGATTTTTTAGGGGAATTATCCCAATATGTCAAAATGAAAGATCTTGTTTAAAAAGAAATGTGGGAGGTGGAATGACAGTACAGTGGGTAGAGCACATTTCTTTCATGTAGCCAACCTGTATTTGATCCTGCTTCATAAGATATGGTCAGTCCTGCTGGGACTGATCCCTAAGCACAGAGCCAGTAGTAAATCCTGAATACCACAAAGTGTGCCCCATCCACCAAAAAGAGGACTGTGGGTGTTCTCACAAATAAAACGAATCATAATTAAGTATACATCAGAAATTTTTTAAAAAAAGAGTTTTGGGGAGATACCCGCACCCAGTGGTGTTCAAGGGACACTTTCATCATTGTTTGGGGCCACATGTGGTATTATTTACTACTATATAATTTATACTAATATATAATTTACTACTATATAATACTGGGGGTAGCTGTAAGCAAGGCAAGTACCTTTTCTCCTGAAATCTCTAGAACCAAAAATATTTTAATAGCAATTAAATCATTCTGAAACAAAACATGTATTAAAAGTTGGAATGTGGCTTGGAGGTCAGCCACACATGCTAGGGGAAAAGGGAGCTCAGATAGAGAAGGGAGCACCAAATAAAGGGTGTTGGGAGGATCCTCTGAGGATGGGAGAAGCATGCTGAAAGTAAACTATAGACCAAACATGATTGCCACTCAATGCCTCTTTTGCAAACCACAACACTCAAAAGAAGAGAGAGAACAAAAGGGAATGCCCTGCCACAGAGGCAGGGTAGGATGGGAGGGATGGGGGTGGGGGGTGGGAGGGATACTGGGACCCGTGGTGGTGGAAAATGGGCACTGGTGGAGGGATGGGTATTTGGTCATTGTATAATTGAAATCCAAGCACAAAAATTTGTAAGTCTACAACTGTACCTCATGGTGTTTCACTAATAAAATTTTTTTTTAAAAGTTGGAATGAAATAAGTCTTCTGGGCATGAAAGGTTGAGAAAATTGGGATAAAAACAAGCTGTCTTGTTGCAATGGGAGGGTCACCAAGTGAAGAATTGAAAGTGTTGGAAGCCATTGGTACCTAAGTAGTGGCACCAAGAAAAGAGGTAAGATGAGCTAGTATTCTGACACGGTCCTGTCATTTCCATTAAATGTGTGCAGGGAAGAAAAATAGTCAATTAGATCATGTATTTTAGGTCGGTAGGGAGCTGCCTTCATGCTGCCAACCGGGGTTCGGTTCCTATGGTCTCCCAAGGCCCGTCAGGAGTGATCCTAGAGTGCAGAGCCAGGAATACCGCTGCGTGTGGTCTTAATAAAACCCAAAAAGGTACGTCAGACATCGTTGGCTCTGTTCTTGAAGCACAGTTACCCAAGCTTCTCTGAGTCCCTGAGGAGAAGGCACGGGTAACTGTGGGAAAAAGTAATCCGTGCTGAACTGCATTTCCCAGGACTCTCTGGGGACACTTCCGGGTTCTGCATGCGCAGGCCCAGAACCAACTTCCTCCCCATTTCCGCCAGCACTTCCTGCTTCTGGAGTTCCGGGGGCAGCTCTCGGATGCTTGCTATGCGGTCAGTTCGCTCCAGTGGAGGAGGATCGCGGGCGCTGGACACAGGTTCGGGACAAGCGGAAGGTGGGTGAGGGGACGGGGACCCGTTGTGATGGGTCTGGACACAGTTTCGGGAAGAGCAGAGGGTGGGTGAGGGGACGGGCCCCGTTGTGAGGCTGACCAGGAACCCGGCTCCGGGAACTCGGAGTGGGAGGGAGTGGAACTTCGGGGTGTGGAGCGGATGAAGGTGGGAGAAGGGGATCCCGGGGCGCAGTGACAGCCCAGAGAGAGCGACCCCCTCCTGCTCGGGGTCTCATCTCTGACAGTGACTGGGTGGGGCAGGGCTGTCAAAGTCTGCCGGAAGCATTGCGCGCATGGAGCCCAGGGTCCCAGCAGCCCCTCAGGACAGTCGTCACTGGATCTCACAAAGTGCGTCTGCATCCCAGCCTTTTCCAAATTTTCCAGGGTGCGTGAGCTGGGTCAGGAGAGAGGAACTGCTCTTTGCAGGAAAGGAAGTCCCGTGAGCTCTGCTCAGATTTCCCGTTGTTTTTTTTTGTTGTTGTTGTTTGTTTGTTTCTTTGTTTATTTGTTTTTGTTTTTGCCTATTCCCACAAAAGAATGATTTCAGGAGGAAATGGATCGTGAAGGAAAATAGTTTAGAGGGAGTGGGGAAGGGTAACAGTTTCATGAGAGAATGCAGACTTCTTCAGTTTTGAAACTCTCTATTTAGGGCCAGGTGATCAGGTGCTCTGGTGTGTGGTGGATGGTTGTGGACCTGAGTGCAGCCTCCCCCTTCACCCTCAGAACCACACTTAGGACCCTTCACCAAACGTTCTGTTGCTGGAATCTTATACCCTGGGTGCTTGGGGCTGCTTCTCCAGCAATTTTTATATGTTTTATTTTCATAAAGTGTTTCACAATGGGCTGGAGCGATAGCACAGCAGGTAGGGCGTTTGCCTTGCATGTGGTCGACACAGCTGACCCGAGTTCGATTCCTCCACCCCTCTTGGAGAGCCCGGCAAGCTACCGAGAGTATCTCGCCTGCACGGCAAAGCCTGGCAAGCTACTCGTGACGTATTAGATATGTCAAAAACAGTAGCAAGTCTCACAATGTTACTGAGCCTGCTTGAGCAAGTCGATGAACAATGGGAGGACGGTGACAGTGACTTTTTATAATCAGAAAATTCATTTATTGTAGCCTTTTGCACTCAGTTGAAATGATTACATGACAGTAAAAGGTAATCTGAATATGAAAGATAGTCCTGTTCTTCTTTTTTTACAAATATCTTTATTTTGTTAAAGTATATTACATTACAATTTACTTTATACTTGGATATTGTTATGATGATAATCATGACTCACCTGTCATTAATAACACTTTAAAGAAATTCTATACGAATATATTTTGGAATTTACATGTTAGGCCTAAACAGGTAAATTTTTCCTTTACACTTAATAAAAATACTGACCCTCACATGTATTATGTTGGTTTCTGCTGACTGTTGGCTGAGTCAGGCAATTTTAAAAATTTTTGTGGTGGTTTTTGTTTTGGCAAACAAAACACACAAACAAACACACCTGGTAGTTCTCAGGTCTTACTCCTGGCTCCATGCTTTGGGATCACTCCTGGTGGGGCCACATCTGGTCGGCAGGGTGCTGGGGATTAAAACCAGGTCAGCAATGTGTAAGTGGGTTGGACGGATAGGACAACCAGTAAAGCACTTGTCTTGTTACTGTGTTTGGCATAGTGAATACATCACGGGTAGCTTGCCAGGCTTTGCCGTGCAGGCGAGATACTCTCGGTAGCTTGCCGGGCTCTCTGAGAGGGGTGGAGGAATCGAACCCGGCTCGGCCAGACTGGCTGCGCATTAACTAATTTTTTTTATCAATTTATGGGATCTTGATCAAGTAGTAGATCGCTTGCCAAGCATGAACAGTCACTGGATTTTCTCCTTGGCACTGCTTACCCCTCATACAGTGTGCCTATTACCAGATGTAAGCCCTCAAGGCCCCAGGCACATTGGGTCTAAGTACCAAGCCTCATTGAGAGCCCTGACTGTTCCACCTTATCCCCTGAGACTTCTGATTATCACTGAGTCTGGTCCACATGACTCAATTATCCATTATTTGTTAACTCCAGCAGTTGGTAGTGTGGGTTTTTTTTTATTAATTTAATATATTTTATATGTGAATTGTGCCAGTTGAATTGGGTCCTTCATCAGAGTCTTTCCTTCTCAAGATATAAAATGCTGCTGTCCATAGAATTCTTCCTTTCTTCCTTTTCCATCCTAGAGATGAAACTCTACGACTGGCCAGTTTTATCCTGACTTCTCCTCACCTCTACTTCCAGAATCCACTGAAATTTCTAAAGCACCACCAATGAAAACATCTCTGGTGAGTGGCTTCATTTTTCCTCCCCCCTCTCATTTATTTCACACTCTCTGGAGGTTTTGAGGGTTCCTAGATTCAAACGAAAAGGTCAAAATGAGTTTCTACTTCCTGGGAATATAAATGAATAATAATCAGAAGATAGGCTCTTAGAGTCAGGGTCTGATTTAGGGATATACGTGATTAACAGATAGGGGTAGAGGAGCACAAAGGAGAGGTTAAAGATAAACACAGAGGAGTGGTAGTGCCTGATAGAATTGGGTTGCCTCGGGAGCATTTTAGTGGGAGTAACTCAATAAACCTAAGCTCCCTTGGGGAAAAAGGGGTCACACCTGGAGATACTCAGGGCTTACTCCTGATTCTTATGTTCAGGAATCAGACCCTAGTGGGGCTCATGGTATCAGGGATCGAACTAGGGTTGGCTACATGCAGGGCAATTCTCTGTACTCTATCTTTAGGGCTTAAAACCAGGCACCAAAGGGTCCTTGAAGCCCTGCTGAATGAGTGACCCTCCCACGCCCAATCTGGCATCGCAAGCTGTGCATGTCTCTTCAACAGAGTCAGTTATAGCCCTCAACACAGAAATAAGAGTCATTCTCATATGAAGTAAAACTTCACAGTTATATTGGGGGCACAAACCCCAGCTGTGCTTAGCACTCAGAATTACTCCTGGCTATAGGGACAAAATGGGATTCTGGGGATCAAACTGGGTCAGTGACCTTCCAAGATCTTTCTAACTTGTGTCCATATTTTGTCTCTATTTCCCCAATTTCATTATTGATTACCAGCATTTAAGTCTGTGTTCTGTGTAGCATTGTAGCACTGTCCTCCCGTTATTCATCGATTTGCTCGAGCAGGCCCAGTAACGTTTCCATTGTGAGACTTGTTGTTACTGTGTTTGGCATATCGAATATGTCACGGGTAGCTTGCCAGGCTTTGCTGTGTGGGTGAGATACTCTCGGTAGCTTGCCGGACTCTCCGAGAGGGGCGGAGGAATTGAACCCGGGTTGGCTGAGCCAGCTGTGTGCAAGGCAAATGCCCTACCTGCTGTGCTATCACTGTAGCACTGTTTTTTTTTCTTTTTTCATTTTGTTTTGTTTTGGGGCCACAGCTGACGATGCTGAGAGTTTACTCCTGGCTCTGCACTCCAGAATTACTCCTGGCAGTACTATGTAGCTGTTAGAAAAGATGAAGTCATGAAATTTACATACAAGTGGTACTACATGGAAAGTATAATGTTAAGTGAAATGAGTCAGAAAGAGAGGGATAGACATAGAAAGATTGCATTCATCTGGGGAACATAAAGTAACAAAATAAGAGACTAACACCCAAGAGTGGCCGAGATTAGTACCAGGAGTTTTGCTCCATGGCTTGGAGGCAAGACACACATTCTAGGGGGAAAGGGAGTTCAGATAGAGGAGGGAGCACCAAATAAAGGGTGTTGGGAGGATCCTCCTAGGATGGGAGAAGCATGCTGAAAATAGACTATAGACCGAACATGATTGCCACTCAATGCCTCTTTTGCAAACCACAACACCCAAAAGGAGAGAGAGAACAAAAGGGAATGCCCTGCCACAGTGGCAGGGTGGGATGGGAGGATGGGGGGGTGGGAGGGATACTGGAACCCGTGGTGGTGGAAAATGGGCACTGGTGGAGGGATGGGTGTTTGATCATTGTATAATTGAAACCCAAGCACAAAAATTTGTATGTCTACAACTGTACCTCATGGTGTTTCACAAATAAAATTTTAAAAAATTACTCCTAGCATTGCTTGGGGTACCATGTGGAATACTGAGACATGAACCTGGATCAGCTGAGTGCAAGACAAATGCCCTTCCTGCTGTACTGTCTCTCCAGTCCTGTAGTCATTGTCCTGTTACTTCATCTTTCCCTTTAGTTTATTCTTTTTGCTGTCCAGTAATTCTTTTCTCACCCTCCTATTAGGGGATGGTTTTTGTGCCACAGATATGTGCTCAGGGTTTCCTCCTGTCTTTGTGCTCAAGGATCACACCTGGCAGGTTTGGAGGAACCATAATGGTGGCCAGGGATTAAACCCAGTTTGACTATGTGCAGGACCTACCTAGGACCTACCTGTTGCTCTGGCTCCCTCTAAGATCTTTCTAACTAACTCTTATTCTTTCTGTGTTTTCCCAATTTGTTTATATTTCTGGCATCTAAGCAGCTAGTTATACAGATAGCACCTAATAGTAAGTGAATAGTAAATTCTAATAGTAAATCTCACTTCTGCTGTCTGAGTGAAAGTCATACTGAATTTTTTTGTTCTTCTCTTTTCTGATTAGGTGTATTTATGTATTGTTTTTTCACTTCCTCTTTCCCTCTGGTTTATTCTCTTGACTCACCATTGTCCTTTTCCCATTCTCCTATTGAGTGTTGGTTTTTAGAATAAAAATCCAATCCAGTAACCAGCTCTTTACAGGACCCTGATTATTTGAACCCCTTTCTTAGGAAGTGGCAGTCTAGGGAAGACAAACAGTATTTCAAGTAACAGTATAATGTGAGGCTACAGACTTACATACTGTGGAATTTATTAAGGGCCTGGTCCTATGATGGCCAGAGAGATGGCTCAGTGAAATGAGTCATATGCTTTCCATGTGTGATGCAGTGAATGTGATCCTAGTCACAGCACCCTGAATATTGTCAGGTGTGTCTGTTTTCCCCTGAACACCCTAAAGTGGCACCACAGCACCTCTGAGTTCCTGGAACTGAGCTACCAGACACGTATTGCCAATGTGAGTATTATTGGAAATGTTCTCTGGGCCCCTCAGGGACTGTTTGGAAGGCACAAAATACCTCTTGCTAAACAAAATATTTTATTGAGGGGCTGGAGTGGGTATGGTATTTACCTTGCAGATGGCAACTCACGTTTGATCTCTGGCATCCCAGATGGTCACCCCAGCACCGCAAGGAATGATTCCTGAGTGCAGAGCCAGGACTAATTCTGAGCTTTGCAGTTTCACCCGAAAAGCTGAAAAACATTTTTTATTGGTGACATTAGGTTCTATGTATTTGTGTACACACACAAAAGCATAAATATATTTAAACATGTTTCTAGTCAGTTCCTTAAACATAGTATGCTGTCTTCCTTTCTCCTCACAGAATGGGAATGCTGTTCAGGAGTGACAGCTATCTGAATTTCTCTCAGGAACTTCCTTGATGCTGTCACATGCTAACTTTGGTCATTGCTGATCTTTATAAAAATAGGTAGTTCATGCCATATGACCCAGCAGTTCCACTTCTTGTTACAGAATCATTCAAAAAGACATATGCTACCATTGTTCATTGTAGCACTTAGTACAGTAGTTAAGATATGGAATCAACTTGGGTGTCCAGTGATAGATAAGGACATCATGAAGATTGGTACATACACACATACTGTGCATCTGTAAGAAATGATGAAATCATTTAGTTTGCTGAAACATGGGGCATGGGTGGAACTGGAGAATGTCATGTAAATTGAAGTAGGCAGAAGAAGACAGACAACCCTGGATTGTCTCACCTGTATGTGGTATATAGAATAAGTGGATGAGGAAATGCAATATTTTAAGAGGGGAAAGGGGACTCCCAGGTTACCCTTGGCCTAAGAGTATAAATCGGGGAGTGGGGTGAGGGTGAGATAAACAGGAAGCAGGTATTAGGGGGATCTACAAATATCAGGATATACAAATACAAAGTAATGGTATAGCTAAATATCCAAACCACAGAGTCAACTACAGTGAAAGCAGGACAGCCAAACTTCAACAGCTCAACATAAAAACTGTACCTGCTCACAGAGTTGGGGATGGGCTATCTCTCCCGATTTTCCTGTTCTTCTGGGAGCTTGGCAGTCGTACCAGTGAACTGACTGTGGCACCAAATAAGCTTATTAACTGGCCATGATCCAGAGACTCATAAATAAATCTTGAAAGACATCAACAAGCTGCAGAGATGCTTCTGCAAAGTCACCACCCAGTTAAATATTTAATTCCAGCTGTTTCACCCCATTTAAAAATTTGAATTCCTGGAGTGTGTGGCCACAAATGTGGCCATATGACATCTCAAATTCCACACCACCGATATACCAGGAGTAGCACAATGCATTGGGCAGGATGGAAAGTAGAAGGCAACCAGTTTTAATTAAGAAAATCTTAACACCAAGGTATAACCTGTAGTGACATGTTAGTAATCTCTTATACAAGGGCTTAATGGCTTCACAGTGAGATACAACAGTCTTCATACACCTTCTAAGGAAACCCTTCTTTTTCTTCTTTTGTTAATTGTATTGAATCACCGTGAGATAGTTACAAGCTTTCATGTTTGGGTTACAATCACACAATGATCAAACACACATCCCTCCACCAGTGCACATTCCCTACCACCAATATTCCCGGTATAACCCTCCCGGTATAACCCCCCCCCCCCCACATCCATGACAGACATTATTCCACATAATCTCTCTCTACGTTGGGGGATTACAGTTTGCAATACAGACACTGAGAGGTTATCATGTTTGGTCCTTTATCTACTTTCTGCACACATCTCCCATCCCGACCGATTCCTCCAGCCATCTTTTTCTTAGTGATCCCTTTTCTATTCCAGCTGCCTTCTCCCCTTTGCTCATGAGGCAGGCTTCCAGCTGTGGAGCAATCTCTTTGTCCCGTGTATCTACTATCCTAAGGTGTCAGCCTCATGTTATGTTGTTTTATACTCCACAAATGAGTGCAGTTAAGGAAACCCTTTTTGATCATTTTTAGAAAATTGGTTATAAGACGCAATATAAAATAAATTATTTAGGACCTGCTGTTGGAGCAGGCTTGAGTGATTGGTAAAATTGGAAACAGTGGTGGTAGGGTGGTGCATGGTGGTGAGATTGGTATTGGAATGCTGATGAACAACTTTAAAAATTTAAAATATAAAACACTTAAATTTTTTTTTAAATTTAAAACATTTTTTTAAATGTTCCTTCCAGGCTGTTAAGCTAGATGGGAGAGAACCTGGTAATCATGGTGGAGGGAAGATGCTGGTGCTGGAACATAGTATGTCTAACACCCAACTATGAATAACTTCGTAGTACTGTAGCACTGTCCTCCCATTGTTCATCAATTTGCTCAAGCAGGCCCAGTAACATCTCCATCGTGAGACTTGTTACTGTGTTTGGCATATTGAATATGTCATGGGTAGGTTGCCAGGCTTTGCTGTGCGGGTAAGGTACTCTCGGTAGCTTGCTGGGCTCTCTGAGAGGGGTGGAGGAATTGAACTTGGGTTGGCCATGTGGGCTGTGTGCAAGGCAAACGCCCTACCCACTATGCTATTGCTCCAGCCCAACTTCGTAGTAATTAAATTTTTTTTAATATTTAAAATTAAAATAGAATTTATTTTAATTTAATATTTAATATAAAATTTTAATGTGATTCAGTTAGAAAATAAAACTAAAGAAATTAAAAGGAATGTAACCTATGGAAAAAGTAATATTTAATTTTAAATGAAAATTTATTTTTTATTTAAAATTAACAATAGAGGAAGGACAAACAATTTAGAGGGAAGTGGGAGTCCAGTGACTGTGGTGTGAAGGAAAATTGGCACTGTGATGATGGGCTTAAAGTAGAAATTTACATTTGCAAAAGTATGAAACTGAGCCCCTAAAATATACCCAGTCTTCGAACCCAGTATTACCTCAATTTTAAAGATAGTCTAAACAAAGTGAGATGTGTGAAAAAGATTGACATCAAATATTTAATACTGTAATTTAAATACTTTATTATTTAATAAAATTAAATATTTTTATTAAAGTGCTGAGGCTCTAATAAAATTTTTTTCTTAAAATTAAAAAAAATACAAATAGTTCACTGACCAGATGGATAAAACAGTGAATAGGATGCTTGCTTTTGCAAACAATTGACCTGAGTTCAGTCCCCAGCACCACATTGGACTCCCAGTCTCTGCCAGGAGTGATCCTTGAGTGCATGAGTAAGCCCTGAGCACAGACAGTTGCCACCCAAAACAAAAAAAACACAAAAAGCACTGTTCACATGAAAGAACTAAACATCCTATGTCCTTGGTCTCATGGGATGTGATTGGGCAGAGTAGTATCTCTTTGTTTTTTTCACTCCATTGAATGGAAATCTTCTAGGTCTTCTAAATCAGACACCCAGGAACATGGGTTCCCCAAAAGATTAAGGGTCCTTTGTGAAGTAGAATTCTATTCATTCTTTCATTTGTGACAGTAGATAAAATTTTTGAATTATAAGGATTCTGTTGTTCTAACTTCATTTTTTGTTTCATTTTTAAATTTTAATTAAAACACTGTGATTTACAAAGCTGTTTATTATACTTTTGTTTCAAGCATTTAGTGTTGCAGCACCATCAGTGTGACCTTCTTTCCATCAGTATCCCAATTTCCCTCCCAACCACACCCTGACCCCTTAGACACAGAACAGGTTTACTTTATATTGCTTATGCTAACAAAACTTTAAGAAATGGCAAATAGAATGATCAGAAAAGAAATTAGTAAGAGCCAAATTTGTGATTATGATTTTGGCCTATGTAAATAAGAAAACTAAAAACATTTAATACAATATTATAAAATTCCTTTTATCATTTACATATATACATTTTTAATTCTGGAATCTAAAGTATACTCCATTAAATTTTATTTTATACTTGCATCTTGTTATGGCAATAGTCATATCTTACCTGTCATTAATGAAAAGTTTAAAGCAGTTCTGTGTTAATGTTAATATATTTTGAAGTTTATATGGAATAGGTAAGGCCTACATAGGTTAATTTTCCTCCTACCCTTTTTTTAAATTTATTTTTTTATTAGTGAGACATCATGAGGTACAGTTGCAGACTTACAAATGTTTGTGCTTGGGTTTCAGTTATACAGTGATCAAATACCCATCCCTCCACCAGTGCCCATTTCCCACCACCACGGATCCCAGTATCCCTCCCACCCCCCATCCCACCCTGCCTCTGTGGCAGGGCATTCCCTTTTGTTCTCTCTCTCTTATTGGGTGTTGTGGTTTGCAAAAGAGGCAATGGGTGACAATCATGTTTGGTCTCCCCTACCCTTTTTATAAACACCAATTTACAAAGTTCATGATGATTTTTTTGCAGGCATTCAATATTCTAACACCAATCCCACCACCATTACAACTTCGTTTCATCATTGTCTCCAATTTTCCCAACCACCCCTTAAACCTGCTCCCATAGCAGGCACTCAATAATTTATTTTATATTGCTTGTTATCTATAATTCGCTGATAATGCTGTCCTAACTTTAGGAAGAACTAGGTTAATGGAGACTAGAATAGTTAAACTGTGACCTATAATTTTTCTACAATACAGAATACAAGTGTAGTGCATCATATATAAAACTCCAAAAGGAAACTTCCAGACTTCCTCTTCCTTTGATCCTGACAAAGTGCCACCAACTGCAGAGAAATGTGTCCTTACAGGAGATGGTGGTGTTTGAGGATGTGGCTGTGGACTTCACCTGGGAAGAGTGGCAGCACCTGGATGACGAGCAGAGGACCCTGTACCGGGATGTGATGCTGGAGACCTACAGTCACCTGGAGTCACTGGGTGAGTGAAACTCCCCAGTTACTGCCTACTGCAGTTTCTCTTTATAAATAAATATACAACTTCTTTGGAAATGAAGCTTTAAGGTTTTTGCACAGAAATAATGTGACCAACACTCTCAAAGAAAGGTTCAAGGTGGCCCTTCGTTGTGTTTTCAGTCCTTATGTATTTATTTTTATTACATTAAAAAAAATGGGCTGGAGCAATAGCACAGTGGGTAAGGCATTTGCCTTGAACACAGCCAATCTGGGTTCGATTCCTCAGTCCCTCTCAGAGAGCCTGGCAAGCTACCAATAGTATCCCGCCCACACAGCAGAACCTGGCAAGCTTCCTGTGGCATATTCGATATGCCAAAAACAGTAACAATCTCACAATGGAGACGTTACTGGTGCCTGCTCGGAGCAAATCAATGAACAGTGGGAGGACAGTACTACAGTGCTACATTAAAATAAATTGAGGTAGTAAAGTGTTCAATTTATAGCATGGAGGTCCAAATTTACTGCATTCTGCCACCACTAAAGTGCCCATGAAGTTCCCTCCACCTTAGGTCACCTCTGGTCTGATCTTCATCCCCTGAACTGTGCCTCCATTGTTTTTTTTTAAAATTTTTTAAATAAGTTGTATAATCCAAGGTAAACAGTTTTTCATTGTTAAATACTGCCTGTTCCCTTGTCTGATCTCTCTGTATCCCACAGAGTGAGATCATATACATTTTGTTGTTCCCTGGTTAATTTTGCTGAGTATCGTACAGTCCAGCCCCATCTATGTTGCAGCAAATTGCATGATTTTATCTTATCTTAGGACTGCATAATATTCCATGTATTAATATACCATAACTTTTTGTTTGTGTTTTGGGGCCATACATGACTGTGCCCAGGGGCTTATTCCTTGCTTTGTGCTCAGAGATCATTCTTGGTAGGCTCAGGGAAATATATAAAATGCTGGGGATCGACCCCAGGTCAGCCACATGCAAGGCAAATACCCTACCAGCTATACTATCACTCCTGCCCCCATTCCTCAAAATTTTTATCCATTCATCTGTTACTGGACTTTTGGATTATTCCTATATCTCAGCTGTTGTACTAAGTGCTGCAGTGAACAGGGGTGTGCATTAACTGTTCAAATTAATGTTTTGTATTTTGAGGGTAGAGACCAATAAGTGGAATCACTGGGTTGGATGGGATCTGATTGGTTTTGAGAAAATGCCAGACAATTTTCCAGAGGAGACAGAACCAGATGGCATTCCCACCAGCAGTGGACAATCATTTTGTTTTTCACTGCATCCTTTCTAACCCTTGTTTCTGCTGTCTTTCATTTATGTCATTCTAACTGGTATGAACTGATATCTCGTTGTTTTGATTTCCATTTCCCATAAGTTACAGTGAACACCTTTCTATATACCTATTACTGACTTATCATTGACCAACTCAAAAATGGTGCTGGTCCTCCCATTGTTCATCGATTTGCTCGAGCGGGCCCAGTAACGTCTCCATCGTGAGACTTCTTGTTACTGTGTTTTTGCATATTGAATATATCACAGGGAGCTTGCCAGGCTTTGCAATGCGGACGAGGTACTCTCAGTAGCTTGCCGGACTCTCCAAGAGGGGAGGAGGAATCGAACTCTGGTTGGCCATGTTGGCTGCATGCAAGGCAAATGCCCTACCGCTGTGCTATCACTCCAGCCCATGGTGCTGGTATCATTCTTCAAATACTGTGACCAGAGGCCGGGATGATAGTATAGTGGTAGGGCGTTTGCCTTGCGTGCAGCTGACCCGGGTTTAATCCCCAGCATCCCATATGGTTCCCAGAGCACCACCAAGAATAATCCTGGCGTGTAGAGCCAGGAGTACCCCTGAGCATCGCTGGGTGTGACCCACAAATAAGCCAAACAAACAAACCCAAAAACCCCACAATAAACATACAATAGCTACTGTGACTGTTAGGTAGTTTGAAAACATTATTTCATTATTTTTCATCATCAGGGCATACAGCCATCAAGCCACAAGTGATCATGAAGTTGGAGCAAAGTGCAGAGCCGTGGATGGGGGATCCCCCAGAGCAGAGCCTCCCAGGTCAGTCCACACTGGGTAAACAGACTGGACATGGGGAAAGCAGCAGAAATTTGTTTTACTGATAAAGTTGTTAACTAATTTTCCCTCTAGTTCAAACCCTATAGCAGTTTCTTTTCATGCATTATTCAGTCTCCAATTATGGCTCTTGGTCACATCTCACTTTCTTAATGGGTGTATATTTTCAAATTGTAATGCAATCCAGTGTCTTTGAAAGTTTTTTTTATGATCTTACTGTCTCTGTGTTCTCAGTCATTGTAATTTGCTTTATCTTCATGGACAGTTCTTTTGGTGCTTATTCTTTTTTTTTTTTTTAATTTTTTTACAGTTGTAGATTTACAATTTTTTTGTGCTTGGGTTTCAATTATACAATGATCAGATACCCATCCCTCCACCAGTGCCCGTTTTTCACCACCATGGATAATATCCCTCCCACCCCCATCCCCCCATCCCCCCCTGCCTCTGTGGCAGGACAATCCCCTGTGTTCTCTCTCTCCGTTTGGGTGTTGTGGTCTGCAAAAGAGGCATTGAGTGGCAAACATGTTCAGTCCATAGTCTACTTTCGACATGCATCTCCCCTCCTGGGAGGATCCTCCAAACATCCTTTATTTGGTGCTCCCCTCTCCGTCCGAACTGCCCTTTCCTCTAGGATACCCGGCTGGCCTCTAAGTTATGGAGTAATCCTCCTGGTGCTGATCTCAGCTATTCTTGGGTATTAATCTCATACTTTGTTGCTTTATATCCCCCAGATGAATGCAATCTTTCTATGTCTATCCCTCTCTTTCTGACTCATTTCGCTTAGCATGATACTTTCCATATTGTACCACTTGTATGTAAATTTCATGACTTCATCTTTTCTAACAGCTACATAGTACTCCATTGTGTAGATGTTTGGTGCTTATTCTTTTTAAAATTCATTTCCAACATTAAGGAATACTTTTTTTTGATAATGTGACTTTGGATTGTGTGTGTGTGTATGTGTGTGTGTGTGTGTGTGTGTGTGTGTGGCTTTGGATTTAACTGTTAAAAAAATCCCTTCGTAGAACTTATATCTTGTAAGAAGTCTATTTTGAAGTGTTGAAGACAGGAGCTATGATATAGATTAAGACACTTGCTTTGCATGCAACTTACCCAGTGTGATCCATGGTACTCAGTGTGGTGCTCTGAGCAGGGCCAGGAGTGGTTCCTAAGCATAGAGCCAGTAGTAAGCCCTGAGCAGGAGGGCCTCTCCACATCCCTTGGGGGGAAAAAAAAGCATTGAAGACCACCTCCATTGTAGGCATGAAATACTTAGCTTGTTGTTTGTTTTGGATCCTTACCTGGCTTTGCTCAGGACTTATAGCTGGCTTTATGTTCAGGGATCATTCCTTTGCAGTGCTTGGGGAACCCTATGTGGTGTCTGGGATTGAATCAGGTTTGCCACATGCAAAGTAAGTGCCTTATTTGCTGTGATATCTCTCCAGCTTGTGAAGTAAAATATTTTCAATAATGTCGCTTAGGTATGGCAGAAAATGATGAATCAGATTTTTTAAAATGTTTAGTTGTTCTGAGAAATTCTTGGAGTTGTAATTTATTAGGGATTTGTACAAATATTACTTTGCCTAACTGAATAAAATGATTCTGTTTCCCTTCAGTAAGCCAAAGATGCCCTAGGACAAAGTTTAAAAAGAAGAAAATCTTCCTATATAGATACATATGCAATATCTATATCCCTGTATATTAGTAGCCCTTTAATGAATAGTAGATAGGAATCCCCTGCATCCATTCTCTAGTGACCCAGGAAAGTCTACCATTTTTGAAGGTGTATTGTAGAACGGTGAGATGATGATGTTGTCTAGATATCATCAGACAAAAGTACACAACAAACAAAACAAACAAACACTGTCCTCCCATTGTTCATCAAGTTGCTCGAGCAGACCCAGTAACATCTCCATTGGAGACTTTATTGTTACTGTGTTTGGCATATCGAATACATCACGGGTAGCTTGCCAGAGTATCTGCCATGTGGGCGAGATACTCTCGGTAGCTTGCCGGGCTCTCTGAGAGGGGCGGAGGAATCGAACTCGTGTTGGCCATGTTGGCTGCGTGCAAGGCAAACGCCCTACCACTGTGCTATTGCTCCAGCCCTACACAACAAACACAGGGAATCAAATGGTAAGTTAAAAATCTTTCTGCTGAAATTCAGAGATTATATGAATATTATGACCAAATATTTTCTCATGATTGAAAACAAAATCCAAATAAGTACAATTTTACACTAGCCTCTTACTATTTTAATTCATACGTGGCAAAAAAAGTTTTAATATTACACCTTTTGGGCCAGAGTGATTGTATAGCAGGTGTGGTGTTTGCCTTGCACCTGACTGACCCAGGTTTGATCCCTATGGTCCCATATGGTCCCCCAAGCATGTGAGGAGTGATCCCTAATCACGAGCTAGGAGTGATTACCTGAGAACCTCTGAGTGTGCACCCCCCAGAAGCCCCCCCAAAAAAAAACTAAATCAGGGACTAAGAGTTAGTACATGGAAAAGATATATGCCTTGCATGCAGCTGATCCCAGTTCAAGGTGGGGGGAAGAAAAATAAATGAAAATACACTTCAGAAAATATTTTGTCCCTTTGTTGAAATTTTTTTATGTATGTACTGTGAACCACAAGATATGTGTAGATGTTTCCTAATGTTTGTGTATCTGTCTCATTTTAGATATTCAGCCTAAGCATGATTTGCTTGAGCATATTCAGAGAAATCAGTGTAGACAACTTTGGCAAGATAAAATCACCAAAAGAAAAGAAGCAACAAATGAGAGAAATGATTTTAACATCACGTTAAATTTTAGATCTATCCACTTTTCAGAAGTGATGTTAAATAGTGGAAACTGTTCTGTCATGATGCCTGCAAAATATGATGTGTGCCAGAGGAGATTTCTGGCTACAGACCCTCATGAGATCCACCCTCTAAAGAAAGTTGAGGACCACGAGACATTCTTTAAAATAGCTAATTTCACTAAGTATCCAGAAATGCACAGTGGTGAAAAACCTCATGAATGTTATAGAGGAAGTCAGCTTTCAGTCCTCAATATATGTCAGAGAACACATATTCTAGAAAAAATACCTGAATTTAATGAATGTGAAAAAACATCCCAATCACAGAAACTCATTGAACACCAAGGAATTCATATAGAAGAGAAACCATATGAAAGTAAAGAATTTAGGGAAATATTCTCAAGGATTATCTCTCAACATGAGAGTATTCATACAGGAGTTAAATCCTATGAATGTAAGAAATGTGGGAAAATATTCTCAAGGAAGTCCCATTTCACTCAACATGAGAGAATTCACACAGGAGAGAAACCGTATGAATGTAAAGAATGTGGGAAAATATTCTCAAGGAAGTCCCACCTCACTCAGCATGAGAGTATTCATACAGGAGTGAAACCCTATGAATGTAAAGAATGTAGGAAAATATTCTCGAGAAAGTCACACCTCACTCAACATGAGAGAGTTCACATAGGAGAGAAACTGTATGAATGTAATGATTGTAGGGAAATATTCTCAAGGAAGTCACACCTCACTCAGCACAAAAGAATTCATATAAGAGAGAAGACCTATGAATGTAATGAATGTAGGAAATCTTTTTCAAGGAAATCAGACCTTACTAAACATGAGAAAAACCACACAGAAGAGAAACCCTATAAATGTAAAGAATGTAGAAAAACTTTCTCACGAAAGTCAAGCCTCACTGAACATGAAAAAATTCACACAGGTGAAAAACTATATGAATGTAAAGAATGCAGGAAAATATTTCCATGGAAGTCAAGCCTCACTCAACATGAAAGAATTCATACAGGAGAGAAACTATATGAATGTAAAGAATGTAGGAAGACATTTTTATGGAAGTCAAGCCTCACGCAACATGAGAGAATCCACACAGGAGAGAAGCCCTATGAATGTAAAGAATGCAGAAAAACATTCTCAAAGAAGTCACTCCTCACTCAACATGAGAGAATTCACACAGGAGAGAAGCCCTATGAATGTAAAGAATGTGGGAAAACTTTCTACAGAAGAAATGGTCTCATTCTACATCATAGTTTTCACACAGTAGAGAAACCTTATGAGTGTAAAGAATGTAGGAAAACTTTCGCATGTAAGTCAAGACTCACTGATCATAAGAGAATGCACACAAGAGAGAGACCTTTTGAATGTAAAGAATGCAGGAAAAGTTTCTTGTGGAAATCATGCCTGACTCAACATGAGAGAATTCACACAGGAGAGAAACCATTTGAATGTAAAGAATGTCGGAAAACCTTCTCACAGAAGTCCAATCTCACTGAACATGAGAGAATTCACACGGGTGAGAGACCTTATGAGTGTAAAGTCTGTAGAAAAACATTCTCCTGGAAATCAGGCCTTGGTCATCATGAGAGAATTCACAGAAGAGAAATCCTATGAATGTAAAATATGCAGAAAACTTTGAAGGAAGTCAGGCTTCACTACACATGAGAATTCACACATGGGAGAAATCTTATGGATGTAAAGAATGTAGGAAAACTTGGCCTTAAACAGAGCCTCAAGATACACAATAGCTCACACTGGAGTGTAAATCAAGATTGCAGAAGCTGACCATGTTTTCACCAAAATGAAACTTTCTTTTGGGCAAACCACTATTCTTTATCATTCCTCCTCTTTTCTACATGCCTGACCCTGTAGCTTAGCTGTGACCAGGGTAAATAGGAAATACAAGAATGAACATTACTTTCATGAATGCTCATCAAAAACAAAAAGTGCTATGAATTACTTCCTGATTTTTTTTAATGTATTGTGGTTCTAGGGTTTAGCTGAGCCCCAGATTGACCTTGAAGACCACAGGATGAAGACAACAGCATGCAACAAAACAGGTTTGATTATTTGGGGACAGCAGTTTTTTGTAATTCAACTTCAGTATTCTAGTATAATCGGGTATAAATAAATATGTATTGAGCCAATCCATGAGTGATTTATCTAAAACACTATCAGATCGTTGTCATCACAACATTTCTTAAGTTTGGCACAAGCAATATTTGTATAGAAAATTCATGTAGAAAAAAATTAAAAATACATGTAGAATAACTGTTGGGTAGAGAGATAACATACATACTGAAAATAAAGTGCAGTTCAAACATACTTCATTTATAAAAGTTTCCAACAAAATTGACAACATTGGGGTTGGAGGGATGGCATACAGGGCTGGAGTGCATACTTCTTTTTCATTTTAACTTCGGAGTGCATACTTCTTGTGGAAGACTAGAATCATTGTTTAGTCCCCAACACTGCCAGTAGCAGCCCCTGAGTACGTTAACTTGACCAAGAAGAAAAAGTACTTTGAACTTACTAGATTTGTATGGGAGCTTAGACGTTAAACATAAATTTCTTGTAATTGGGAAGGATTATATTGAAAGTTTATACGACTGTTTTGTTTTTGTGCCATACCGAGTGATGCTCAGAGTCTATGCCTAACTCTATACCCGAGTTATTTCTGGGAGGCCTCAGGGGAACATATGGGGTGCCATGGATCAAACCTGGGTCAGCCGCATGCAAGACAAGCACACTCCTTGCCATACTGTAACTTCAGTCCCTCAATGTATTTTAAATTAATTTTTAAAAATTCAGGCACCGTGATTTACAACTTATAGTTGAGTTTCAGGTACACAATTTTTCAACATTCATCAAACTATTATGCTATAGTTCTGGCTGCTCTGTAAGGAACATCTTTAAAACTCAGGTAATCACAAACCACTCCCTCTCGATGGTATTGAGGGGATCATGAGGAGTTAAGGATCCAATCCAGGGAAGCACTTTACTGCAGAGTTATTTCTCAAGCTTCCTTGGTGCATTCCTGAACTTTCCCTGGCATCATCTCTCTTTCCCAAGGAAACACATATTTTAATATCAATTTCTGAGGTAAATATCATGTAGAAGTTCCAAGTGGACAGATGAGGTCAGTGAATGCCCACATAGAATTCTGCCCCAGCATACACTGGTTCTGGATTTACCACAACACTGAAGAGACCAAACAAAACTCGATGTGCTCAAAATATCTCAAAAATATTTCCAAAATTGTTCTACCAAAGATAAGCATGAGGTTTAGAGAAATAATGCAGGCGTAAGATGCTTGCCTTGCATGAAGATTACCCTGGTTTGAATCCCTAGCACCACATATGGTTCCCCAGTCACCACCAGGTAAGCCCTAAGCACTGCTGGGTGTGGTCCAAAAAAAAAGTAGAATCAGAAATATATGTATACTTTATAAATAAAATTCAAATGTAAACCAGAGCTTTGGAATTGTGTGCAGAAGTAGTTTTTAAAAAATGTATTAAGACACACACGAATCTTGGACCCAAGCAACTCGCTGCAGAAATGGCTCTGGACTTTACAATAAGCTACTTTTGTAGGCCACTCCACACGGGAGCAAGTGCCATCCCTCCGCCTGCCCTCTAGGAATCCTGGCGGCCGCCATCTTCTAGAACTCAGAGAAAGCTCCAGGTTGTTGTGGTGGCGGCAGCAAAATCCAGGCCTCAGGGGACATGGAAGGGGTCAGCCTTTCTCCTTACCCCCATCCTGATGGGACTCTGAGATGGCACCCACATATGGCCACCATCTGTAGGATGACATTGCTTTGTCCTTTTTCCCTTGCCACAAGGAGCTTAGGTTTATCGGGTCACACCCATCACCGAGTCACACCCATTATTTTATAGAAGTCACACTTCTCTATACTCTCTTCCCCAACCAGTTAATCAGCTTATTCCCTAATCGTTTTCTCCTAATTTGTAAGGTCAGATCTTTCTAGGACACTGAACTTGTATTGAAAGTTAATATTGTCTTTCTCCTCTTCTTATGTCTTTTGAATAGTTTACTTGAGGCAATGTCCTTTTGTATAGACACAAGAAGATAATATTATGCTTTTGTAACTTGGGATTTAATTGGTTTCGAATATTATTTATTCCCAGGCATCTGTTTTCTCAACTTAAGCCTCAGTTGCCCTCACTTCCTAGCGCCCCCCAAAAGCAGGGTCCCGACGAGGGACTGGATGGAACCAGGGTAAGCAGTAAGCTATGTGCTACCCTGGCATCGAGATGGGCCTGGCCAAAGTGCCACAATTCTTAACTATAAGTTAAGAGCTTGATCATGGACAAATGCTGTCACGATCCAAAAGTAACGATGAGAATAGGACCCTGCTAGGGATAGGAAAGACTAATCTGGTCTGAGCACTGTAGTCTGAGATCGGGATGACCCCAGGAGAGCAATTCTGTAAGCTTAATGCATCTCTTACTGTGTCCATACAAAATGATTAATATTATGAATGTTTGTTGGACAAGGAGAGGAAAAACACACCCTTGGGATTCCACCCTTGGGTGGGTCCTCCTGCTGAAAGAGAATCTGTCCTAGAAGCAGCATCCATCGAGGAAAAGAACTTTACCCCTATTGATTGTGACCACACCTATGTGTAAGCCCAGCCCCTCATGGTTTTGAGATTTAACTAGACTGTAAGAGTGGGCTGGGGGATCAGATACAGAGCCAGAGACAGGAGATCAGGGGCTTCCAGATCGGGGGCTGGGAGAAGAGAGAGACAGGAGTGAAAGGGGATAAGAATGGAATAAATGGCACCTGATCAATCAACCGGCTTGGCCCTCGTTTCCTCTGCTGTCTGCCCCATGGCTCGAGTTGCCCAGGCTGGGCCAGCAGCCCCTGGATCCCCCAAATCCAGGTGGCGAGGGGGAGAGTCATTGGGCCTCTCCCCAGCCGCCCCTTGAGGTTTTATACACCGTCTACTTAAGCTCCCACACGGCCATGATCCAGAGACACACACACTAATCTCGGAATCGAGCAACTTGCTGTAGAGATCTCTCCAGACCCTAATTATTAAAATTTTAGAACTCCTAGAATTCTAGGAATTCTACAAGAGCGGCCATCCAACATATTTTATCCATAACAAGCAATACAAAACACATTGTCTAACATTGACTTTTTGGTAGGTTTGAGTGGTGGTTTGACTGGTGTCAAAATAACGAATGTAACCAAAGTAAAGAGAGAGTATTGAGCAAATTGTTTGCCACATTGGCCACATAAGCAGGGGAAGATGTGGAATGGGGGGAGGGTGTGGATACTGGGGATTTTGATGGTGGAAAAAGTGTACTGGTGAAGGGATGGGTGTTTGATGATTGTATAATCGAAGTTCAAACATGAAAACTTTGTTACTGTACCTCAGGGTGAATCAATAAAAGGGGGGGAAGTATTAAGAATAAGAAGAGATTAGTTATTAATGACTAATAACCATATAACTATTAAATATTTAATAACTAGTTGTTAAAAAACTAAACTAATTGCCACATTTTCCAAGGTGTCATATTTTTTTTTTGAGCCATGCCCAGCAATGCTCATGATTTACTCCTGACTCTGAGCTCAGAGATCACTCCTGGCACAGCTCAGGGGCTGTATGAAGGGTGGGCAATCAAACTCCTGTTGACCATGCAAGGAAAGCACCTTACCCGCTGCACTATTGCTCCAGCCCTGGACATCATAACTTTAATTTTGTTTTGAAACCCCCCCCCAACACAGACACAAACGGGAGATGTGTGTCAGGGGAACTGATACCATCCCGAGTTAATTGGTGAATTTCTCTGGTACCACTGGAGGCCTGTCACCTCACCCTCCCAGAAACCCAATAGATATAAATCTCTTGCATGATAAAAAAAAATTGAGCCCTTCTATTTTGTTTCATTATTAAAGAGAGATTAACACAGAATCTGATTCTTTTCTCAAATGAGTATAGAAAAGCCTTGTTTTTAGAAAAAGTCGTAGAAATAGAGATTTCTATCTCCGCTGAAGGGCCTGGGAGAGTTGGTGGTGTGGTTCCTGGGTTTGGAATGGTCCCCATCCTGTCCCCTGTCACACCCTCTTTCCCCAACATCTTCCTGTGCCTGTCTCAGTTTTTGTTTGGGGACCATACCTGACGATGCTCAGGGCTTGCTCCTGGCTCTGCACTCAGGAATTATTTTTGGAGGCCTCAGAGGACCATTTGGGATACCGGGAATTGAATCCGGATGGGTTGCATGCAGGGTAAGCTCCCTCCCTGCTGACCTTTCCATGTAAGGCATTATTCTCCATCACCCTTGAAGGAGACATGATTCTGCCGATGGCGCCACCTGGCGGCTGCTTTTGTTGGGAATTTGTTTTGAGGGCTGTGTTCAGGGGTTACTCCTGACTCTGTTCAGGGATCACTCCTGGAGGTGCTGGAGATCAAACACGAGTCGGCTGTGTGCAGGGCAAGCTCCCTCCCAACTCGACTACCACTTAAGCCCCAGGCTGCCGTTTCTATATGGTTCCTTGTTGGAGCTCCTGGAACAGTGGTGTTGGTGGCATTCCAGGTCAGTGTCATAGTTAACACTGGGCCTGCTTTCGAGGGGGCGTCTCCTCAGGATCTGATGGTGGGAAGTTGCATCTGCAGACTTGTGAGGGTTGGCTGTCTCTGAGCTGGCCCCGCGAGTCGACCACTTTGCCAGCTGCCTGGTGGTGACTGGGCTGCCACCAGCTTGCTATCACTGCAGCCAGCCAGTGTTTTTGCATTTTGGGCCACACCCAGCTGTTCTCAGGTCTTAGACCAGGCTCTGCAGTCAGGGATCACTCCTGGTGGGGCTCTGTGGACCTAACAGTGTGCCAGGGATTGGTACCCGGTTGGCCATGTGCAAGGCAAGCACCCCTACAATCTCTGGCTCCCCCCCCCCTTTTTTTGACACAACCAGCGATGCACAGGGGTTACTCTTGGCTTTGCTCTCAGGAATTACTCCTGGCGGTGCTTGGAGGACCATATGGGATGCTGGGAATTGAACCCGGGTTTGCCTTGTGCAAGGCAAATGCCCTACCCGCTGTACTATCACTCCAGCCCCCCCTGGTTTTTATTTTTATGATTCTATCTAAAGTATTTTACAAAATCTCAAATATACTGATAATCAATGATTCTTTCGAAGTATATTGGTTCTTATTCTATCACAGACACTGATCTTTTGTATTTCTTTTTTTCATGGCTTTGCTTCGTGAAGTCTTTGTTTTTTTGTTTTACTTTGGGAATGGCACACCTTGCTAGGCTTAGGGACTATATCAGGTACCAGTGATTGAACCCAGATCAAATACACGCAAGGCAAGGTCTTGTTGACCTATCTGAGCTATCTCTCCAGCCTCCTGGTTTACGAATTATTTTACTGGGAATTAGATACTCAAACTGTGTGTGTGTGTGTGTGTGTGTGTGCGCGCACGTGTGTGTGTGTGTGTGTGTGTATGTGTGTGTGAATGTGTGGTGTTTCAGCCACACCTGCTGGTGCTCAGGGCTAACTCCTGGTTTGGCACTCAGGGATCACTCCTGCTGGGCTTCCAAGGGGACCACTTTTGGTGTCAGGGATCAAACTCGAGTCACCTGAATTAAAGGCCAAGTGCTGGGGGCAGAGAGACAGTACAATGGATAGGGCCCTTGCAGTCAATCTGGGTTTGATGCCTGGTATCGCCTGGCATCCCGTATACCCCTCCCCCTCCCAAGGCACTCTCAGGAGTGATGACTGAGTGAACAGCCAGGGGTAACCCTTGACCATCACCATGTATGGGAAAGACCAAGTTCCCTACCGTTGTACTACTGGTTCCGGCCTGAGTAAGATTTTGAGTACTCCCTGCTATATACCAACCAAATTAAGCACAAGGTAAGAGTCAAAGTCTGTGGCCTAGGCAAAAATAAAAGGACTTGGGGAAAATACTTTCTCATTAAAGAATAAATGATTGTGTGTGTTAGGCAGAGGCCCATGTAGGACCTCATACTAGAGAACATTGTTTCTCTGGAAGAAAACAACATGAGAACACCCGAGGGCAAAGTGATAGGACAGTGGGGACTACCCAGGTTTGATCCACAGCATCCCATATGGTTCCCTCAGGCCTCTAGAAGTGATCCCGGAGCATAGAGGCAGGAGTAAGCCCTGAGCACCACTGGATGTGGCCCAAAACCAATGGATAAAAAAACACAATACTTGAATTCTCAGTTAGGCGATGTGGTTAATTATACCAGTCTGATCAACAAACTGGTAATATCCTATCAGTATAGCGCATGCATCTCATGCAGGGGGAGGGGAGGGAGGTAGGGAGAGACAGAGAGCGACAGAGACAGAGAAAGAAGGGGGGGAAGAGAGAGGGAGAGTGCTGCAATAGAGGCAGGCTGGGAGTGGGACCGTAGGGAAACTGGGGACATTAGTGGTGGGAAATGTATACTGGTGAAGGGAAGGGTGTTGAAACACTGTATGACTAAAACCCAATCACCAACAGTTTTGTACCTGTATATCTCACGGTGATTAAAAACACACACAAAAAATGGTTTCAGTTTGTAATATTGATTTAAAATAAAAACAGGAATAATCAGTTCAAATTATAAAGGTCTTTAAGATTAAGTAAAGTAAGTAAGTAAAGGCCCTCCCGTTGATCATCGATTTACTCGAGCGGGCCCAGTAACGTCTCCATTGGAGACTTTATTGTTACTGTGTCTGGCATATCGAATACTCTCGGTAGCTTGCCAGGCTCTCCGAGAGGGGCGGAGGAATTGAACTCGGGTCGGCCATGTTGGCTGCGTGCAAGGCAAACGCCCTACCCGCTGTGCTATCACTCCAGCCTTTAAGATTAGACAGCAATTTATGTAAAAAAAAGAACCCTAAAACTCCAGCAATAAAAATACTTAACTACAAAAACATCAAATTATTCTAAATATCTTTAAAAAATCAGTATTAGAAGTTATATGACTTACATTTACATATGGGCTGAGTGTATAAATCATTTCAGGAATTGTCAAATACTATTCAATGTAATGAGACTAGAAAACAAAAGAACTGATTTTTTTATTTCATTTTCTGCTCATATCCTGGGGTACTCAGGGATCCTGGCTTACTGCTCTGAGGTTGCTTCTCCCAGTGCTTAGGAAACCATATGCAATGCTAGGGACTGAATCTGGATCTCCTGCATGCAATGTATGCATTCTAGCCTACTGAATCATCTCTTCAGCACTGTTACTTACAAATATTTTGAAAATTGGGCTGGACAGATGGATAGGCAACTCGTACGTTTGAACCAGGTATCACATGTGGTTCCCCCAAGCCCTCCAGGTCTGATTCCTGAGAGCAGAGCCAGGTGTAAACCCTGAGCATCCAATGATGTGTCCCCCAAACAAAACAAAAATGAACATCAACAGATACACTGTGATAATGAATAAATGAAAGTTTACAAGTCATGTCAGTATCACAAAGTCATCTTTATTGCAGAGATACCAGAGCATAGTGCCCCAAACGGCAATGCTTAGGAATCAATTGTTCATTGCAGAAAAACTGCTGTAATTCACCAAAGGCATTCAACTGAAGAATGTGTGCCATGTCAGGATAAGCTTCTCAAAAGCTGAGAATAGTTGGGATATGCAGGCTGCATGTGGCAGCTTTTTTTCCAGATTTGTGCCAAGACTGTCACTAACTTAACAAATTTCTCTATATTCTTGACTTTCATAAAGTTTCTCTCCTATGTGAATTCTGAGGTGTATATGATCAGTGTACTACTGGCAGAATGCTATTGTGATTTCTGGAAGAAAGTGAAGGAAGTATTCCCCCTTACCCCCCACCCGTAGTTTCTATATTTTGTGAATTATGTGATGAAAATTTAGAAAAGTAACTTCTTGTAGAAATATTTTTTCCTTTTTTAAGTGTCATACCTGGCTGTGCTCAGGGTTTACTCCTGTCTCTGCATTCAGGGATCACTGTTGGTGGGTGTTGGGGACCATATGTGGTGCCGTGGAATGAACTCAGGTTGGCTGTGTGCAAGGGAAGCACCCTACCTGTGTACTATCGCTCTGGCTCAATTTTACTACGTGCTTGATGTCAGTTTTCTTTCTTGTGAATTCTCTGATACACAATGGGTTATGGTTAATGTAGAAAGATTCCCTATGTTCTATACCTTAATAGGGTTTCTCTTCCATATGAGTTCTAAGAGATATCTCCTCAGTTTGACCTTCATTTTTGACATTCATAGGATTTCTTTCGTGTGTGAATTCTTTGGTGTTCAATAAGGTTTGACTTCCAGATGAAAGTTTTCATACATTCTTTACATTCATAGGGTCTTTCCCCCGTGTGAATTTTCTGGTGGTCAGAGAGAGCTGACTTCCAAGAGAAAGTTTTCTTACATTCTTTACATTCATAGGGTTTCTCTCCTGTGTGGTTTCTCTGATGTTCAATGAGATGTGACCTCCAGGAGAAAGTTTTTCCACATTCTTTACACTCATAGGGTCTCTCTCCTGTGTGGATTCTCTGGTGGGCATTGAGATTTGATCTAGAGGCAAAAGTTTTCCTACATTCTTTACATTCAAAGGGTTTCTCTCCTGTGTGTATTCTCTGGTGTTCAATGAGGTTTGAACCAGATAAGAAAGTTTTCCTACATTCTTTACATTCAAAGAGTTTCTCCCCTGTGTGAATTCTCTGGTGAACAGCGAGGTATGACTTCCGGGAGTAAGTTTTCCTACATACTTTACATTCATAGGGTTTCTCTCCTGTGTGACTTCTCTGGTGTTCAGTGAGGTCTGAATTTGAAAAGTAAGTTTTGCCACATTCTTTACATTCTAAACGTTTCTCTCCTGTGTGAATTCTGTAGTGTATAGTGAGATATGCCTTTCGGGAGTAAGTTTTCCTACATACTTTACATTCATAGGGTCTCTCTCCTGTGTGAATTCTCTGGTGTTCAATGAGGTTTGAACCTGAAAAGAATGTCTTCCTACATTCTTTACATTCAAAGGGTTTCTCTCCTGTGTGAATTCTCTGGTGAACAGTGAGATATGACTTCCAGGAGTAGGTTTTCCTGCATACTTTACACTCAAAGCGTTTCTCTCCTGTGTGAATTTTCTGGTGTACATTGAGGTATGACTTTCGGGAGTAAGTTTTCCTACATATTTTACATTCAAAGGGTTTTTCTCCTGTGTGAATTCTCTGGTGTTCAATGAGGTTCGAACCTGAAAAGAATGTCTTCCTACACTCTTTACATTCAAAGCGTTTCTCTCCTGCGTGAATTCTTTGGTGGACAGCAAGGTATGACTTCCAAGAGTAAGTTTTTCTACACACTTTACATTCAAAGCGTTTTTCTCCTGCATGAATTCTGTGGTGCACAGTGAGGCAGGACTGTGGTGAGTATGTTTTCCTCCATTCTTTACATTCATAGGATTTCTCTCCTGAGTCAGTTCTCTGATGTCTAAGGGTTGAAGAATGAGGGGTTTTCTGATACTTGTAAGATTTCTCACCTGTGTATATGTTTTGATACTTAACACTAGACATTTTGTAGGGAATTTTACCGTATACATTAGATTCAGATATTTTCTCTCCTACCTCAGTTTTCTGAATGTGAGTGAGGTATGATTTCTTAATAGCATTCGCACTCTGACTTCTTGGATGATGTTCGTCCTCAAAAGCAAGGGATTTTCCAATTGAATTAAAGCCCTCAGGTTTCTCTGCAGGATGCATCTCATCAGACTTAAATAGTAGAAACTTGTTCTTAAATATATCATACACCTCCGGCAACATCCTGGAATAGTTTCCAGTACTTATAGTTGGGCCTGAAATAGGAATTGAGTTCAAATTAAATGTCTTGATAATTGTTTTCCTTAACTGATGATTTTCCACTGATTAATATATCTTACTATTTACACTCCAATCTTTCTGGTTGTTCCCAGTCCATTAATTCACAATCAAAACAACTGTTACATTTGAGACAGATGGAAAATTATGTCTAAATACTAGAAGCACAAAATATTAAAAAATAAAGATATTACAAAATTATGGTATTGATTTTGAAAATGTGATTCTTTCCCCTTATGAATTAGAATCACAAATATTATCAGTCTAGATGTCAAATCATGCTTTTTCCTTACGTTTTCACTTTTTTGGTTTTTGTTGTTAGGCCACACCCAGTGGTACTTAGGGGTTACTCCTGGCTCTACACTCAGAAATTACTCCTGGTGATGCTCGGATTAAACCAGGGTCAGCTTCGTGAAAATCAAGTGCCCTACCCACTATACTATCTTTCCAGTCCTATGTTTTTACTTTTTAATGAGAAAATGTTTAGTTAAGTTCACCTATTCTCTGGTTGAAAACTTTACAAGCGGGCCAGAGCAATAGTACAGCAGGTAGGGAGTTTGCCTTGCACACAACCGACCCGGATTCGATCCCTGACATTCCATATTGCCCCCGAAGCACTACCAAAAAAGCAAAAAAAAGAAAAAGAGAGAGAGAAAACTTTACAAGCAAGGCTTTGACCACCTAAGTTTATTACTTAATTGTAGCACCCTGTTTAATATAAGCACAATTTAAAAAAATTAAAAGATCTTGTCATACTGTTTTGCATCAACAAAAAATGGGATTAAAATCTGAGACAATTATATGATAAAACTGTATATATATATACATACATACATATATATGCATATATATATACATACATACATACACACACACATACACGCAGTTTCCATATACAGGGTTAAGTGAAACATCTAGAAACATCTAGAAATGTTTTCACTTCCCCCTGGGGTGTAATTATCTGTTGGGGCTTGGGTTTTTTTTTTGTTTTGTTTTGGTTTTGGGGCCATACCTGGTAGTGATCAGTGTCTATCAGAGAACACTGCTGGCAGGGCTCAGGAGACCAAATAAAAGGGAAATTGGGTCTCGGCAGAACTGGCCACATGCAAGACAAATCTCTGAAGCTCTTGGGATTTGTTGTGCTAAATATTTGTATTTGGGCTAAGTCCAGGAGACTCTGTAGTCAAGTTTTATCATTTAATTGCCACACTTGGAGACTGCTTAATGCTCACATGTTGTACATGCACACTGTCTGAACATGGGCAAACTGTGTGGAGAGAAGCAGCTCAGTAGGATCAACTACTTTCTGCTTTCTCTCTCTCACCTCCTAACCCAGCAGGTGCAGACTTACCTGAGATGTTCTGGGTTGGGGGTACTTTGACCATCCATGGCTCTGCTCCTTCCTGCAACCTGAAGATGACCTCAGGTTTGGTGACTCCTGAATGTCCTGTTGGAAAATAATGTGGGCCATTTTCCCAAATGCTTAATTGACACCAGTACAGGATTGTGACCTGCAGAATGTAGGGCCATCTTTTTTTGTTTTAGAACCACACCCAGTGGTGCTCAGGGCTTACTCCTGGCTCTGTACCCAGGGAACACTCCTGGCAGTGCTCAGCTACCATATGAGATCCCAGGCATTGAACCTGGGTAGGCCATGTGCAAGGCAGGCACCCTACCCACTGTACTCTCAATCTAGCCCCAAACCATCTTGAACCTTTAACTAGCAGGGGGGCTCACAAATTCTTTTTGAACAAAAATCTTAATAGTTAATAGCACTAACTTTTAAATTTTCAAATAACACATATACATATTTATATATTTCTACACTCCCCCCCCCCCCCCCCGCCGAGATTCCCAAGCATTGCTCAGGTAAGCTTTGGGGGCGATTCTTAGTGATACCTGTCCAGATGTGCAGGAAGATGATTCAAAGCACGGAAGAGCCTGGCAAGCTATACGTTGTGTATTCGATATGCCAAAACCAGTAACTACAACTGGTCTCATTCACCTGACCCTGAAGGCTTCACCGACATGGCAGCACTGAGAAGGATGAGAAAGGAGAGGCCTATAAAATCTCAAGGCCGAACTAGGCTGCCACAACGAAGGAAGACAAAAATGATCATCTGTACTTTCAATGCACGTACTCTAGCATCAGATACATCCATCGAGGACCTGATGGTACAGGCACGAATGATCAAGTACGACATCATTGGTCTGACCGAGACAAGAAGGCACGAATCTCACCATGCCGTTTTCGACACTGGAGAAGAATTGTTCCTTGGAACATGCGATAAAAGAGGTGTCAGAGGCGTAGGTGTCCTTATCAACACAAACTTGGCCAAGAGCATTGATTCATTTGAATGCCTAACAACCCGAATCGGACGTTTACATTTGAATAGATGTGGCTCACTGCCTGCAGTTTCTATCTTCGTTGTCTATGCACCAACATCTCATTATGATGAAAGAGAAATCGAGAAGTTCTACATGGAGTTGGAGAAGTTCTATAAAGAAGACCACACCTTCTACTAGATCATTGTGGGTGATTTTAATGCCAAGATAGGACCGAGAAGATCCGCTGAAGAACTTCACATTGAGATCCATGGCCTAGAATGGAACAAACAGGGTGAGAGACTGTCTGAGTTCATCATGTCGACCAAGACCATCCATGGTAACTCACAGTTCCAGAAGGCCGAATCTAAACGATGGACATGGGAGTCTCCCGGTGGACGATTCCACAACAAAATAGACCACATCATATTCAATCGATGGTTTTGCCTGACCAATGTCGCTGTTGTCCCAAAATTTCTAACGGGATCAGACCACCGTCTCCTTCGTGCAAAATTCTACTTCACAGAGCGGGGAGAAAGGGCTGCAAAGTTCAAAAAGAGAACTCCCAGAATGACCACCACCTGGGAACTCTTTGACACTATTGCGGCAACATGGGAAGATGCCATTGTTGACAACATTGGAATACGATCGACTGGTTCAGCACCTCCATGAATGTGCGAGGAACGCCAAGAGAAAGATAGCCACAAAAAAATGCCTGTCTTCAAAAACTCTTGAGCTAATTCGCCAACATGGTTTGGCGCATGCCTCAGGCAACCGCAAGCTAACGTCCGAGCTCACAAAGCAGCGCAGAGATGCGATCAAGGAAGACCTCAAAGAGAGAAGAGCAGAAGTGCTGGTAGATGCGGCAGAAGCTGGGAAAAGTATTCGTAACGCCTGCCTGTCCTTCGCCAAATACAAGACCAAGAAGACTGCCCTCCGACGTCCTGATGGATCCATCACATCCTCCAGAACAGCAATGGAGAAGATTATCCATGTCTTCTATTCAAATCTCTTCGATAGCCATGTCCACTTGCCGACATACCAAATTCCACAGGATGGATATGTCGTTCCCAACGTTCTCCCTTCTGAAATCCAACACGCCATTTCGTCGGTAAAGAAGCAAACAGCACCCGGCCCAGGCAAGGTCAGACCTGAATACCTGAAGAACCTGCTGTCAGTACTCATCAATACACTGGCTCGGCTCTTCACTCGCTACCTGTCTGAATGCAAGATTCCATCCCAGTGGAAAACCAGCAGGACCGTACTACTGTTCAAGAAGGGAGACATTCATGACATTGGCAACTATCGCCCGATCTGCCTGTTGTCTGTCATCTACAAGTTGTTCACTCGAGTCATCCTAAATAAGATTGGCAGAACACTAGATGAAGGACAACCATGCGAGCAAGCCGGGTTCCACAAAGGATTCAGCACCATAGACCATATAAATCCACGTGATAACCAAGCTCATTGAGGTTTCTAGGGAGTTCAAGATGCCGCTCTGTTTAACGTTCATTGATTTAAAGAAGGCCTTTGATTCTGTTGAGATGGAAGTGGTCATTGAAGCCCTAGCCAATCAGGGCATTCAAGCCCAATACATCAAGATCCTCTGTGAGCTGTACTGCGGATTCACTACCAGGATCTCACCATTCTACAAAGAAGTGATAGGTGATGTCAAGAGAGGGGTTCGGCAGGGTGATACCATTTCACTGAAACTCTTCAGTGCCACCCTCAAGAACATCATGCAACAACTGGAATGGGAAGGAATGGGAGTGAAGATAGATGGTTGGCAACTACACCACCTCCGCTTTGCTGATGACATTGTTTTAATAACACCAAACATCAGCCAAGCAGCACAAATGCTGGCCGACTTCGACTGTGAGTGTGGAAAGGTAGGACTACAGCTGAATCTTACGAAGACAATGTTTATGAGAAACAGCTTCGTTCCTGATGCCCCATTTGCTCTCAACGGAACGACCATCTCCGAATGCAACAGCTATGTGTACCTAGGTCGAGAAGTCAACATGACAAAAGACCTGGCACCCGAGCTGCACAGGAGGAAGAGAGCGGCTTGGAATGCCTTCAAGAACGTCGAAGAAATAGCTAAGAGGACGAAGAACCTCCGGCTCCTGGCACATCTCTTTGATTCCACTGTTCTTCCTGCATTAACATATGCCTCAGAGACCTGGGCCCTACGCAAACAGAATGAGAATGCTATTCAGGTTTCCCAAAGAAGAATAGAAAGAACTATGCTTGGAATATCATGTTTCACTCAAATGAGAGAAAGAATCCGGAGTTCCGACATTCGTCGATGATCAAGAATCAAGGATGCTGTCTCATTTGCCAAGGTGTCAAAAATCAGATGGGCTGGTCATGTAATGAGATTTAAAGACGACCGCTGGACTAGAGCTGTTACTGACTGGATTCCACAGGATGTCAAAAGACCGCGTGGCCGCCCACCTACCAGATGGTCAGACTTCTTCATCAAGATAATGAATGATCGGTTTGAGGCTCTTCATGTTCCCAGAGCGAACAGATGCCATTGGGCTACACTAGCACGCGACAGGGACAAATGGAGATGTTACTGGCGCCCGCTTGAGCAAATCGCCGACTAACGGGAAGTGATTAAATGATAAGTGAGGAAAAACATTACTTCTACTCAACAGAAACTGGAGGAGCGTCACTTACCCAATGACTCCAGATGACTGTAAGTCTCCAGCATCACATCCCGGTACAGGGTCCTCTGTTCATCATCAAGATGCTGCCACTCTTCCCAGGTGAAGTCCACAGCCACATCCTCAAAAAACACCATCTGGGAGTCGAAGAAACAGTACAGTGGGGAGGATATTTACCAATGTGGCCAACCTGGGTTTCATCTCCGCCATCCCATAGGGTCCCTTGAGCACCAGAAGAGATGCCTGAGTGCAGAGCCAGGCGTAATCCCTGAGTAGGAACACCCACCTCTCAGTCACCCATCTGTTATAACAGAACATATCTCTTTTATTCAAGGCAATAGCTCTAGCTAAAAGAACAGGAAGAGTAGGGGAGTGATGAAATCCAGTAGGGCGGTGTTTGCCTTGCACACTGCCAATCCAAGTTCGATTGCCTGCATGCCATATGGTGCCCTAAGCACCACCAGGAGTAATTCATGAGTGCAGAGTCAGAAGTAACTGATCATGATCAGGTGTGGTCCCCCCAAAACAAAAACAAAAAAAGAACAAGGAGATTGGTGGCTTACTTTACTTTCATTTTATCTTATTTAGTTTGGGTCTTGACCACATCCAGTGTTGCTCAGGGGCTACTGAAATGAAGAAGTGACACCCGGGGTAGTGCTTGGGTGGTGGTGGGGGGGGGGGTTCATCCTGCATGTAAAGCACAGGCTCCAGGCTTCGTTCTCACTCCCAGCCCCATATCTTTATCTCTTAAAAAAAAGTTTTTATTAAATCACCGTGAGATACACAGTTACAAAGTTGTCCTTGGTTGGATTTCAGTCATACATGTTCCAACATCTGTCCCTTCACCATTGTGTATTAAAACACCATCAATGTCCCTAGTTTCCCTCCTTCCACCCTCCCCCCGCCCCAACCCTAGCCTGCCTTTATGGCAGGGACTTTTCTTTCCTCTCTCTTTCCTTTTGGTCATTTTGGCTTGTAGTACAAGTACTATAAGGTTATCATTTATATAGTACATTTACACAATGGAATACTACATAGCCACCAGAAGAATGAAGTCATAAAATATGCTTATAAATGGATGGACATGGAGAGTATCGTGCTGAGTGAAATGAGTCAGAAGGAGAGGACAGTTATATCTTTATATTTTATAGGATGCTCCATACCAGGTGCTCTATATTACACAGGAAGGGCTACTGCAGGAGAAAATTTCCATATCCTGGGCCAGAAAGGAGGAACAAATGGTCCATATGTAGGTAACTGGACTAAATCCCCAGAACTGGTCACATGAGCTAGGAATAGCCCCTGAACACTGCCAGATGTGACTCAAAGTTAAAAAATTTCTTCAATTTAAAAAATTTTTCCTGTGCTAGAGCAATAGTACAGTAGGGAGGGCATTTGCCTTATATGTGGCTGACCCAGGTTCGATCCCCAGCATCCCAGAGAGTCCTCCGAGCACTCCCAGGAATAATTCCTGAGTGCAGAGCAAGGAGTTACCTCTGAGCATCGCTGGGTGTTGCCCAAAAACCAAAATAAAAAATCTTTACCTGTTAAATTTATTATCCATGAAAGTAGTACTACACATTCCCTTTTAAATTATATCTTGTCCTTGTTGGTATGAAGAAATGAACGAACTCAGGGTCCAGAGTGACAGTAGGGCATTCACTTTGCACACAGCTGATCTGGGTTGGCTCCCAAGCTCTAGCACTGTATGATGTGGCCCCCCCAAACAAAAACAACCAAAACCAAATGGATGAAGTGCATTCTCCATCAGAGAGCAGCTGATAATGTGGCCAAGATGTAAGTATCAAATGATGTCTATATGCCGGGGGTGTGGGGGAGGTTAGATATTTTTAAAAAATCACTGTCCCTTCTGCTCAACTGTTGGTGGGAGCCTAAAATAAAGCCAGTGCATCGGGCTTTTATGGAAGCAAAGTTTCATGGCTCGTAAGAACGTCTCCTCCTTCCTTCTGCATTTGGGGCAGGGAAACAAATGTGTGTCTTTTGGATGCAGCATCAGAAAGTCCAGAGACTGAGTGTTGAAAGAAAATAAATGGATACACATGATAACCTTTTAGTATCTGTACTGCAAATCATAATGCTCAAAAGGGAAAGGGGAGAGGCAGGGGGAAAGGGGGAAAAGTGCCTGCCACAGAGGCGGGGGATGGGGTGGGAGAGAAACCGGGTGGTGGGACATGTACACTGGTGAAGGGACAGGAAGGGTGCTGGAATACCGTATGACAGAAACCAAATCATGAACAACTTTGCAACTGTGTATCTCACTGTAATTCAATTAAAAATAAATAGTAAATAAATTAGAAAAGAAAAGAAAATAAAGAAAAGAAAGTCCAGGGGTCACTGACGCTCAGGCTAGGTAACTCTTGAAATCATATGACCTTGCTTCTACCCTCCAGGCCTTCTTTACCTGCAGGTGCAGAGTCCCTTGAAGTAGAAATTTCATTTTACCTTTTTATTATAGACCCAGCCCCAGGGCTCCAGAGCTGTGACCTGAGGTTCTGAGGTGGGGGGCATGTGACAGTAGGGACTCAGACTCAGGGCCTCACACTCTGGGCATGTTACCACCAGAGCACTTATTTATTTTTTAAAAAATTTTTAAATTTGTCTTCTTGGGTCACACCCAGTGATGCTCAGGGGTTACTCCTCGCTCTGTACTCAAAGAACACTCCTGGCGGTACTCAGGGAGCCATACTGGATACTGGGGATCGAACCTGGATTAGCTACATGCAAGGCAAACTCCCTACCTGCTGTGCTATCACTCCAGTCCCTTATCTCTAGTTTTGAGTTTGAAATTCTGAACTTTTGGGCCAGGGAGAGAGTCCAATGGGATAGAGCACTTTGACTGGGCCAACGAGAGCATCCAATGGGACGGAGCACTTGATTTATATCAAGTGCAGGAGGTCCTGGTTCATTCCTGAAGCTACCTCGGTGCCCCCAGACTCTGCTGAGGAGCAAACTCAGAAACTGGAGTCAGGGAAAGCCCCTGACTCCCGCCCTCCAAAAAACAATGACTATATAACAGGTGCTCATAAAACTACTCACCAAAGATTGATCCATTTCTTTCATTATTTCGCCCTTAGAGACACGGAAGGTTCTGCAAGAAAAAAACAGGGACAGATTCTGCAAGAAAGAAACAGGGGCAGTCGGTGAATAGGGGGAAGAAAGGGCTCTCTGCACATTAGTCAGGAGAAACTGAGAGGAAGAATTCTGTGGGAGGCTCTTGTCCATCCAGCGAAGGAGTATGGTCAGCATATGGCTCAGTGCTAAAGTGTATGACTTGTAGGTATGAGATCTGGACCCAGGGAAGGGGCGAAGTCACTGCCTTGGGTAGTTGACTTGGGTTTGATCCCTGGCATCCCACAGGGTCCTCAAGCACCACCAGGAGTGATCCCTGAGTGCAGAAAATAACCCCTAAACATAGTTGGATGTGTAACGCCCCCCCTCAAAAAAAAAAACCCACTGAGTCCTGCCAGGGGTGATTACTGAGCACAGAGCCAGAAATAAGCCCTGAGCACTGCTGGGTGTAGCCTAAAAAAGAAATAAAACAAACAAGAAGAATAGGCAGCTTCACCTGTAGTGAGTTTTCTCTCCTGAGGCCCTCCGATTCGCAGCAGTGCTGGAGGCTCCCCTGCACCTCAGCCTGGCTCAGCTCTCCTGGGGTGTTGGTCTATGTGCTCAGGAATCACTCAGTGGCCAGCTTGGGGCACCACATGTGTTGCTGGGGATTGAACCTGGGCCAGCCGTGTGCAAGGCAAATGCTTTACCCACTGTACTGTTGCTCCAGCCTGGGCTGTCGATCTAAACTTCCAATATCACCAGACTCTGCTGACTGCTGGAGGGGCCAGCCACCCGCTGTCCTCTGCTGAGGGCAGTAGCATCAATCACTGCGAAGTGGAGCTTCCTTCTACCTGTGATTCTCTTGGCTCTGCTCCGAAGCACGAGGGTTCAGGTGCTGTGGTCACCTCCCGGGGGGTGGGGGGTGGGGGGGGAATTCTTCAATTCCCGGGACAGCTCCAAAGAGGCCTCTGCTCCAAAGAGAACAGAAAGTCACTGACAGTCAAATAACCCTCAAGACCTCCAGGACCCTGGCCCTGGAAACTAACCTGTCCCAGCCACGCAGAGGGCAGGGATGTTTTGGGAGGCCACAAGGATACACTTCACCAGAAGAGAGCCCAGAAAATCTCGCCATATCCACAGTATAAGCTAAGACTCACAGGCTCTGCACACAGTGCTCCCCAGGTCACCTCTGAAGTCACTAAATTTCTCCTTAAATTTTTTTTGTTTTTTTTTTTAGGTTTTGGGGCCACACTGGCAATGCTCAGGGGTTACTTCTGGGTCTGTGTTCAGGGATTCTCATAGTAGTGTTCTTGGGGGACCATATGAGATGCTGGGGATTGAACTTGAGTCAGCTGTATGTAAGGCAAATACCCTCTCTGGAGCAATAGCACAGCGTTTGCCTTGCATGTGGCTGACCCAGGTTCGATTCCCAGTATCCCATATGGTCCCCCAAACCCGCAGGAGTGATTCCTGAGTTCAAAGCCAGGAGTTACCCCTGAGCACCACCGGGTGTCACCCAAGTAAAGTAAAGTAAAGTAAAGGCCCTCCCGTTGATCATCGATTTGCTCGAGCGGGCCCAGTAACGTCTCCATTGGAGACTTTGTTGTTACTGTGTCTGGCATATCGAATACTCTCGGTAGCTTGCCGGGCTCTCCGAAAGGGGCGGAGGAATCAAACTCGGGTCGGCCATGTTGGCTGCGTGCAAGGCAGACGCCCTACCCGCTGTGCTATCGCTCCAGCCAAAAAAGGTAAAAATGAAAAAAAATGTTTTTAAATGTCAAGAACAGGGGCCAGAGAGAGAGTTCAATTGATAGGGTGCTTGTGATTTCTGGTACCCCCTACAGCTCCCTGCACATCTCTAAAATGAGCACGTTAAAGACTGGGAAGAATATAGCAGGGAGAGCGTTGGCCTTGCATGCAGCACGAGTGACTTATTTGTCTCATTCTGCTCCCCTCTTGGTTGTGTGCTGGGCTCCCCCTAAGAGTGTTTCCCCCTCCCCTCAGATCTCTCCACCCATCTTCTTTATGCCCCCAAGTGTCCTGCTGCATCTTCACTGTCACCTCTGCCCTCATCTTCCCTCACTACCACCCCCTGCCTTCTGTCCCCACCAGAGCTTCTCCTTCAGCCTCATCCCTGCCCCACACCCCCTCCTCATCTTTCTGCCCCCCATTCCCTATGGCCACAAGTGCTGGTGCATTGGGAGAAACAGCTCCATTTGTGTAAGCCTAAGAGAAGTGAAAAGATCAAGGAGACTCAAAATTCCACTGAGTTCAGTGGCTCCTTGGCACTCTCACTGACCTGCTTCTATCACTACCACCACCTCAAACATGGTGCCTCTGCCAGCATTTGCCTTAGAGCATATACCAGTCTCTAGTGAGTCTCTAAGAACCGCAAATTATACAGTCAACCAAAAATACAATGCCATCACCCAGGAGTGTTACCCTTACTGAGATGCCCACACTACCCTGTTTATCAACAAGACTGCCCAGCACTAGCTGACCTTTCTTTAGACTAAAGATCAACAGTCTTGATGCTGGAGTTATAGTACAGTGGGGAAGGTGCTTGCCTTGCCCCCAGATTGGATCCCTGGCACTCAATATGGGCACTCAAGCATGGCCAGGAGTAGTTCCTGAGTACAGAGTGAGGAGAAACCTCTGAACATTGGTGGTGTGGCCCAAAATCTAAAAAAGTAAAATAAAATGAAATATCAACAGTCTTAACACATAGATCAACAAAGCAACAGAAGACTTTCTCTTCCCCAAAATGTGCCAACCCACAACAGATAACTGAATGCTTATTAAGGGATCGTTCATTATACCTTTTCTAAAGCATGCAATTGCTATTTTAAATTCTAAAGAAATCTATTCATGACTGGTTAAAGAAACTTTCGTACATTTACACAATGGAGTACTATGTAGCTGTTAGAAAAGATGAAGTCATGAAATTTACATACAAGTGGTACTACATGGAAAGTATCATGTTAAGCGAAATGAGTCAGAAAGAGCAGGATAGACACAGAAAGATTGCATTCATCTGGGGAACATAAAGTAACAAAATGGGAGACTAACACCCAGGAGTGGCCGAGATTAGTACCAGGAATTTTGCTCCATGACTTGGAGGCCAACCACACATGCTAGGGGAAAAGGAAGCTCAGATAGAGAAGGGAGCACCAAATAAAGGGTGTTGGGAGGATCCTCCCAGGATGGGAGAAGCATGCCGAAAGTAGACTATAGACCAAACATGATTGCCACTCAATGCCTCTCTTGCAAACCACAGAACCCAAGAGAGAGAGAGAGAGAGAGAGAGAGAGAGAGAGAGAGAGACAACAAAAGGGAAAGGGAATGCCCTGCCAAAGAGGCAGGGTGGGATGAGGGGGATGGGGGGTGGGAGGGATACTGGGACCCGTGGTGGTGGAAAATGGGCACTGGTGGAGGGATGGGTACTTCATCACTGTATAACTGAAACCCAAGCACAAAAATCTGTAAGTCTATAACTGTACCTCATGGTGTTTCACTAATAAAAAAATAATAAATAAAAAAAAAGAAATCTGTTCAGGGGATAGAGTGTTACTACAGTAGATAGGGCATTTGTTTTGCATGCAATCGACCTGGATTTGATCCTAAGCCCCCCACAAGGACCTCAGCTCTGACAGGAGTGATCATTGAGTGCAGAACTAGGAGTATGCCCTGAGCACAAATGGGTGTGACCCCAAAACTAAAAATAAAATAAATTTGTTTAAGCTTACCTTTAAGGTTCTTTGTGGTGCTAGGGATCAAACTCATGGCCTTAAACATGCAATTATTCTACCCTGGCTTCTTGCTTTTAAATTCTTTCCTTACAGGCTGGAGAGAGAGTTCTCCAATCACTTCCAGGAGTAATCTACTGGATGTGTCTCAAAAGCAAACATAGTAATTAATTCACAAATTATTTTTCTCTTTTGTCTTTATTTTTATTGAATCACTTTGTGATATAGTTACAAAGTTGCTCCTGATTGAGTTGCAGTCATACAATGTTCCAATACCATTCTCTTCACCAGTGCACATTTCCTACCACTAATCTCCCTAGTTTCCTCCCACCCTACCCCAGCCTACCTTTATTGCAGATTCTCTCTCTCTCCCCCTCCCTCTCTCATTTTCCTTTTAGGAAACGTGGTTTGCAATACTGTTACTGAAGGGTACCATGCATATCATTTTACTCCTTTTGGCACAATATATAAATACTATTTCTTTTTTTAAATAATAGCAATTATTTTAAAACAATTCTTATTTTCAGACATGTTATAAAATACAAACAACTTTACAAGAACTGTCTTGTCAACAGTGATCATTTCCGAGCATCATTGTCATTGTGGTCCCTTTTCTCTCCCAACTGCACTCCCACTCTCCCTTGGTGGCATACTTTTTCCATGAACGGGTTCTCCTGACCCTTGTTTCTACAGTCTTTGGGTACTCACATATTATTATTTTTTATATATTCCTGAAATGAGTGCAATAGTTGTATAATACATAAAAATCTCTGCTGCACAAATAAACTGGAAATAGTCAGGGACCTCCACTCTCAGTCCCAGTTCTGCCTGGACCAGTATCTCCTGGGTTTTTTTTGTTTGTTTAGTTTTGTCTCTGTGGGCCACTCCTGGCAATGCTCAGACTTTACTCCTGGTTTCGCACTCAGTTATCACCTCTGGAGGGGCTCGGGGCCCTTTTGGAGTTTTCACGGATCGATCTAAGCTCAAGCAGGCGCCCTGCCCAAGGACCACAGCTGCGGCCCTGGACATAGGTCCCGCATCCCAGCTCCCTCCTTGCACCGCGCTTACGTTCCCCGGCTCCACCTCCCCTGCCGCTGCGCTCCGGGCTCAGGGCCTCCCTTCACACTCACGTCCGCATTCACATTCCTCCACGCACCTTCTCTTCAAGCGATCGCACGTCCGGGGACCCTAGTCCACCAGTTCGCGACACCTGCAGCGACACAGACTACACGGTCTCCAGCGTCGGGGACTTCCGGGCACGAAATTATGTGGGCGGGGCCGCACATGCGCAGAACACTTTTTCTGTCTCGAGCTCGCTCTCTCGCGCTCTCTCTCTCTCTCTCTCTCTCTCTCTCTCTCTCTCTCTCTATCTCACTCTCTCTGTCTTTCTCTCTCTCTCTCTCTCTTCCCCCAATCCCCCACGGAAAGTCAGCGCAAGAAAACTACATTTCCCACAAGACTCTGCGCCCGCCTATCGGGGAAATGGGTGGTGTGTAAAGAAAACTACATTTCCCACAAGCCTTGTTGGATCAGAAACTAGAGACGTGTAAGAGAGACTACCTGTCCCACAATCCTCTGCGACAGCAGATCAATAATTTAGAGGCGTGTAAGGGAGATTACATTTCCCACAAGCCTCAGCTCCAGTCTGTCTGGAAATTAGTGATGTGTAAGAGAGACCACATTTCCCACAAATTTCTGCGCTAGCGCTTCTGTACCATACTTTTTTTTTCCTGCTATATTTTTTCCAAGCAATTCCGATCGAAAATAACGTCCTAATTTATTTTCAGAAATTTTATAAACTGGGGGCCGGAGCCATAGCACAGTGGGTAGGACGTTTGCCTTGCATGCGGCGGACCTGGGTTTGATCCCGGCATCCCATATGGTCCCGCGAGCACCGCAAGGAGTAATTCCTGAGTGCAGAGCCAGGAGTAACCCCTGAGCATCGCTGGGTGTGACACAAAAAGTTAAATAAAAAAATCAATTTATAAACTACCATTTATTGAATACAAAAACAAGTTTGCATGCTAAAATCCACAGCATTATTTTATAAATTTTTAGATGAAGATTATTTTAATCACTTGATCACTTGACTTCCTGTTAACCATCGATTTG